CAAAATAGTCTCGAAAAGTGTCACGACAGGCCTTCGATCAAGTGAAATTTCATTTCCGTAAAGCTTTGAAAAATAAAGAGATCCGATCAAACGGATTGTGGTTTTATTATAGGCACATGAATGTCTTACAACACACAAGAAATAAGGGAAATCTGTGTCTCAAGCAAAATTGACCGGACCGCTTTTACAGAGACACACTCTTAAATTTTGAATCCCTTTATGGCGAGTTTTAACAACCCTGTTTACGCTTGTCAAAGTTATTCAATATGCAGTTATACTCTTGTCAGTGAGACTGGTGCACCCTTGTTTTGATGTGTTGCCGTTTATCCTCACCCTTTCCTGTCAGCACCTCTTGCAGGCTTTTAGTAAATTCTCTGAGTTCTTTAATCGAGTGACTGTGAGGCCTCCCCTCATAGTCACATAATTCCTCAAAGGATGCCACCCAGTTGCTATGTTTTTTTATGTCTGCCTGCAGGTTTTTTTAATCGGGTTAACGACGCACGTCAAAGAGGAATGGCAATAAAACAAGTATTCAATTCATTCATTCTCAGTATTTGGATACACTTAGCGGGCGTCAATTCGCAGAACTTGATGGCCGGTCGAAAAGTGAAATAGGTAATGAAAGTGAAGAATAATATTTCTCTAGTCCTCAAAAATTCATTTGGTAGGAGTTCGGTGTTCTAGTTTTATCTCAAGCACCTATACGTCTCTGTCTTGTAAGTCTCGAAGGTTCCCAACAGCTAGTAAACTGTTATCATCTTCTGATAAAAATCTAAGATACTACCTAAACCTCTGTAGCCGAAGCGTCTACTAGCACTGGCCGTCAGCCATGCAGTTATCATAGTAGCTTTGGAGTGCGGAGTTATTCTTTTTTATTCCGCATAGTTTTTTTTTTTATCAATTCTGGACGTTAGATCGACCGTCTTTCACCATAACAACCGCTCGTCGATAAAAAATGCAACTATGTCTGGTATATTTATCAGAAAAATTGTTCACCTCATCTGCTGACGTGGTGTAGCCCGTTATTCCATCTTAAAGTAGCGCCATTTACCGCAGCCATTTAGAGTGCTCTCAGATATTACTTTTTCGATAACAAGGAAAGTATTCTCTTTATAGCCATATGATCTGCCTCATGACATGATGTTACAGCGATCACTTTAAACCTTTATCCGGTTACTAAATGGATGAGTGAGTCCTAAGAATTCCTAACCTTTGAAGAGTATCTGCATTTCTGCATTGTATTTAAAGAGTCACTGATAATAGTCGACGGTAAAGCTATCATCGAGAGAAAATCACCTCATGTATCATTGAGAATCAGATGTCGTATTCTTCACTCTCACTTGAAGGACAGATTACGATACAGAATATTCTCTCCTTTTGCAACAAATGTACTTTGTCAAGGAGACAGTTCACGAGACTGCTGAAGTGATTGAATAATCCTCGGCTCAGGATATGACTTGATGAAATACAAATTTCTCCCCAGTTACAGTAACAGTAAAAAAACTGTACGGAAGCCGGTAAAAAGAATATAGAACTGAAAGGATTAAAGCAATTGAATGGCATTTTGAAGAGTAAAAACAC